CTCATATTTTAGGGAAAGAATATGCTATATAGAAGAAATTATTGAAAGTAAATCACAAAAATACAGAAGATCTCTGATAATACCCCAAAAGAATGTTGTAATTTCTCATATAGAAATTTGAGAGTTAAGACATCAACAAATGACAGCTGCAGCAATAGCTTACCTGCTAGCTGTTTTTACAGAGCTGTTCTTCTTATGTCCTCTCTCCGATCGGTTGTCTCGCAAGAGTTGAAGCTATTAAAAAAAATATGTTCAGAACAGGCTCACCAGCAGTGCCTCTAGTAGCTTTTTAGAAATATTATCCTGGAGTAATCTTTCAATTGTTTTCACCCAAGACTCTAAAAGAGATGGGCATATAACAGAATTTTACAATAATAGCTAATATTTCAGGATATATCAACCAATTCTAAATTCTTAAATAACTTTAAAATTTCATTCTCCAAGCATGTTCAAAAAGTCATCTGATCAACATTTGCACAATTAAATTATCTGTAACATTTTAAGTTTTTCCAAATTTCAATTTATATTTTTGAAATTGTACAATGAAAAGTGTTGTAGAACACTCAAACTGCGAAAAACTATTCAGGTTGGCACTTGTATCTCAACAGTTATTAAACAGTCATAAACTTTTCTAAGCCCTAGGAGCTTTTGCAATTTTAAAATTGCAGAATCAACAAAGTCACAGTATTAAAGCTTCCCATAATAGTGGGGCAGTAGGAATAATGAGGGATTAATTTAACTGAAATGGTGACTCAGCTTCTGGAACAAGCTCCGATTTACCCTATTTATTTTTAGACATATCAAGAAAGACTCTTCATTCAGACTACCTCCAATACTTGGAAGTTTATCTCCAGCATTATGATATTAGAAAGGATGAGTAAAGTGGCAGTAACAGTAAAAAAATGACTGTCAAAAAGTTACACTAAAGGAATTAAAGCTAGACAGTATAAAAAATATAAATGTTTCTTGTAACTAATAATATATTATTATTATCAACGCTCCTTGTTATTCCAACTATCTAGTTCTCAGATGCAGTAAAATAATGCAGTCTGGTTTTAAAAGGCAATCTGAAGAATACACACAGGTAATGCACCTGATATATTTTTGCAAAATATTTTTTTTCATTTTCTTAACATCAATGAATCAAGCACTTATGATTAATATTTAAATGTAGCCACATTTTTTACCAGTTTGACATTCATACAATGTGTATTTATTTCATGATCAAGCTAAGGAGAATGGTCTTACTGTTATCAGTATTCTCTGGCTGATAAGTGAATTGTACTTGTAGCATGTACAAATACAGATCACTTGCCAGAATTTAGATGTAGCTAGTTAATTATATTCTAACATAACAACTTAAACCCCACAAATTAATTAAAAATAGTAAACCCAGGGAAAAAAAACAGTTACACACTATGGATCTTAAAAAATTTAGTGAGAATTTCATAGGCGATCAAAATTGTCATGACATTGCACCACCATTCTTACGTCTTTCACTTGTCTAAAAAAAAATTAATCCATTATGGGCCAATAGGATGTACATTATTTGATGACATCAGCTTTACTTCACAACTCATTAGTAATCTCTAAGTTACAAATATACTTAAATTCAGATAAGCTCTAGGGAAATATGCAATGAACACATACAATTTAAAATTAATTCAAATCTACTATTATCTGAGAAAAAGGAATTTGTCATTATATACCAGCTAAGCAGATGTTTCTCATACTCTACGCTGAATGGATATTGCCAGTATGTATGATGTAGGTTAACATTCCATGGCAGCATAGAAATTTCCATACTTTTAAAATCTTAGAACCTTTTACATAAGTAAACAGTACATCTTCAGTTAACTACCTTGTTATGTGAGATAACAGATATTAAAAATACAATTTAAAAAATATTACTCAACTGCATTCTAACCTAGCAAATTTGACTACTTATAGCATCAAAATTTCAAAAATAAGATATAGATTTGCCCAAGATAATTTGTATCATGGTTAGTTAAGCTGAAGCATGCTCATATTTAAAAAGGTCTCTTTTGTGTGTTTTTTTTCTACTAGGAAATATGTTTCAAAATAATTAGAGTTAAATGTGAATCATATAAAGCCACCTATTTAGGCGCTAAGTGTCAGTCAGCTTAGTGCAACATGTTAGAAGTTCACAATTTACAGCTAAAACTGTACTATATTTTATCCACTCTGACAGTTTAGGACAAGTGTCACTGTTTGACTCAGGTTCGACAACAATGCTCTCGATCCCTTCCCCCTCCCACCCAGGTACGGAAGGAGAGAGAGAAGAAGAGAGAGACTTGGCTGGATTGAAAACTAAACTACACAGCTTTAACTAAACAGTAATGATATAAGAAAATATATACAATTATATACAAATATGTTCAGATATGTGTAAAAGCCTCTCCTGTCTCCCCACCCCCAGCAACTCCCACAGCACTCTCCTTAGCTGCGAACAGTCCTGAAAAATCCTGGAGCTGCTGGAGAAAAGTGGAGAGTTATGAGGGTCAGGAGAGCTCGAGCCTGGGGGCCGATGGTGAGGGATGGACGGAGTCCTCCCTGGATTCTGGCCATGGAAGGAAAAAAAGGGAAGAAGAAGAAGCAGGAAGGAAATTGTCTCCTGTGATCTCTGACCTTCCTCTGAGCTTACGTAGACATACGGAATATCTCTGGCCAATTTTGCTGTCTGTCTAATTCAGCCTCTGACAGTGGGGTCATAGATCTCCCCATAGTGTCTGATCTGGCAGAGTAAAGGTGCAACCTTGAAGACGCAGCAGTTAGAAAACATTCCACTCTTATCAGTCTTAGCTGGAATGCTCTGGTGCTAGTTAAAAGCTTACTGAAGGAAAAAATAAATCAGTAAAAGGAAAATTGGCTTAATCCTGGCTCAAACCAGGACAACAAGTAACATAACTTTGAGAGATTAAGCCTGCTCTGGAGTTCAAAAGAAAGGGAAGGAGACAGGAAAGAGTATACACTGATTGAAACAATGGCTTACTGGAGCTACTACAAGTGGTTCATGATGGGTCATCCTAAAATGAACCCTCTAAAGATTCTATGGGTCTTATTTCCTTTGGAAGTTTCAAATCTATTTAAATTTGTAAATGTGGTAGTGAACTGGCACAGATCTAATGAAATCAACGATGTTGTATCAACTTTTACTGACTTAAAAAAATGTACTATGGAACTTCAGTCATGATGTGTTCAGGTATTTTTACTGAATAGTTGAAGTAATTTATACATTTATGAAATGCAACTAGGCTTATTTTCACATTTTATAGTCCTTGGACAGGTTTTTCAGTTTAGATATTACTGCCATCCATTAAAAAAGGGAACACCTCCATGTCAGAACACAAGCCAAACAACTGCTATGAAGACAGGCTGACAGTTGGGGCTATTCAGCCTGGAGAAGAGAAGGCTTCAGGAAGAGCTAGTAGTGGCCTTCCAGTACCCAAAGGGGCTACAGAAAAGCTGGGGAGGGACTTTTCACCAGAGAGGGTAGTGATGGACAAGGGGTAATGGCTTTAAACTGGAAAAGGGTAGAGTTAGGTTAGACGTTAGAAAGGTAGCAAGGTGCTGGAAAAGTATGTGGAAGCTCCCTCCCTGGAGGTATTTAAGGCTAGGGTGGATGAGGCTTTGTGCAGCCTGGTCTAGTGTGAGGTGACCCTGCTTATAGCAGGGAGGTTGGAACTCAATGATCTTTAAGGTCCCTTCTAACCTTAACCGTTCTATCATTCTATGATAATGAAATAAATGCCATGTTGCAAATCAAACAAACACATCTTCGTATTTCCTCAACCCCATCTCTAGGCTTGGACCTTCTAAGGACTACATTGTAGGGGATCAGCAGACAAACTAGAGAGATATTTTCACCAGTATCTGCACGATGATGGAGATTTAACAGTTCCTTTTTTTTTTTTTTTTTTTTTTTTTTATACTGCACTGGTCATTTAAACAAATGAAATGAAGAAAAATGGAATTGAAGGTCTTCCTGCAGAAGCCTGCCCACTCTTGTCACTGTTCTGTGTTTCTTGATTTTGTGAGTCAAATGTTCTGCTTTCAACATTTTGAGAAACAACATTGGGAGATACTATGATTAAGAGAATCATTAAGAAAAAAATAAACAGACTTCATTTAACTTGTTAAAACTCAAAGATACTTAACTGATATTAAGTGACTAAAGATTTTTAATTAAGGGACTTTCTGAAATGCACCGCTGTTAACATGTTTCCTTACAAGAAAATACGAAATCATACCTGCTTTGTTTATAATTTCTTAAAATATTAGTCCACTACCTCTGGAGTAGAGGTAGTTAAATTCCTTTGTACATATCAAGTAAACTTTTCTCGATCAAAGCAGTTCTTACCTGGCTATGTTCCTTCCTAGCTCCAGGGCTAAACCAGTGGCTGTGGGAGAAAAAGAAAAGACAGATTTAACAATATAACTAACAAAGCACATGCTGTCATATGACCAGTCTGTGCGTGCTTTTGGGTATTTTATTGTCTGCCAGGAAAATACAGCCTTTGGCTATGCTTTATTTTAATGGGATATTTTTATTGAACTCTCCAACTCTGTAACAGTTTTGAAAGAACACACCACAAATTTCACTTCCTAGTACGTACTGGTTTTATAGGTAATTCTGTTTTGTCAAACAAGCTAGAATATATAAATGATAGCTTTTTAATATCCTATAATGCATGTGCTAGAAATAATTTAATAGTTAGTACTGAAGTGTTATTTATTAATGATAATAGCTGAAAAGATTTTTAAGTACTGTGAACTACCTGGTAGTTGCTGACGCATTCTTTCACAAACTAAGGTCTGAATTTGAATCTACAGTGAAATTCAATGTCTGTACATTCAGTGGCTTCATATCTCTATACAGTTGCACAATTTTGACAATCAGTGGCCTTATTTCATAGAGGTGAAAATTTGGACTAAGATGTTGACGTGCAGGGACAAGACCTCACAAAGTGAGTTTTCCCTCAGCAGCAGTAGAAGCATATTAATACTAGTTCACATACACACCGTGATCACAAAGAACTGGATTAACACATGTAGCTGTAGTAAGCATTATACAAATACAAGGCAAATGTTGACACTTGGAAAATGAAAAGAAGGAAAAAACAATTTAAACAAGGGGCATCTGAAGTAACATATATAGTACCTAAATATTATCCATGTAAGCAAGCAATAGACTTTGGGCAAAGGAAAAAATAATTCTATGCATCACAATATTGCACAAATGACCATCCCATTATCTGCTCTCATGCTTGCAAGTTCCTTTAGAATTGTAACCAAAGCTTATAGGCTTAACCTAGTCACACTTTTTCTGAAGTAGTTAAATTCAATACAGTTTACTCTCATTTTTTTCCTCACAGGAGGTACATAATGACAATAAAATTTTTACTTTAATTTAATATACTGAGAAATAGCAGATTTCATTGTATTGTTTGGTCTAAATATTTTTATTTTTTTTTTAAAGTCACAAATATGAAAGTTTTTTGGCACTCATTTTTTGTGAGTTTGCTGATGAGCAGTCAAACCTCTCATTCTTGTATACAAGACTGGCTGTCACCAAAACTGCTGACTCGTTTTCTACTTTGAAGGTAATTAAGGAAAAGAAGTTGAAAATTAAAAAAGAATGACAGCAATACAGTTAGAAGTATACCTTGAGATAAAATTCAGTATGCATTTATGCATTTTGGACATGAAACACTTATCAACTGCAATGAACAGTTCAATGTGATGAAAACAGGGAGATATGATGCACATGTAACTTTGATATTGGCAATGGATGAGAAGAAAAACCACCACATTTGCAAGAGACCCAACGAATAAGGTCGCTAACATCCAAAAGCTGACAAAGATAAGAAATATAATGGGTTAGATTCAAATTCCTCTTTAAAATGTCTTGTCTCTCAGCAAACACTCAAGGAGAAGCAGCAAACTAGGGTATCCTTCTCCAAATAAACTCTGCTGGTTTGTGGAAATTCAGTGGATTATAAAATAAAATAATTATTAAAACATAATTCTATTGAAAAAATAGAAGATTTAGACATCAAAACCCCTTAATAAAGAATAAGACTTCATATAACTAGAAAGTGATATTCACATCATACTGATTTTTATTCTTTTGTCCTTTTACTTAATTACAGTATTGTTTGCTTGTTTGTTTCAATAAAATAAGCAAAAGTAAACCCCATAAAATACCACTTGAATTACTTTAGGGCAGACAGAACTTAGGAAATCTTTTTAGTTAATACAAACATTAGCAAATTATGGGGTACAAAAGAAGTGGATAAGTAGCATAATGCAGTTGGTACTGAGGATCTGATGTTTGTAGTATTTGAAACTTTGGCAAGCTGTGTTTTTAACTGTGGATGATGCATCTAGTAGCAGTTAGCATGTCTAAATGTTTCCCCAAATATATTACTTCCTAATCACACATGTCTATGATTTAGATTTCTGACTTGGAAAGCACAAGAAAATTTAATCTTCTTATTGTAACTATTCAAAACAAATAACCAAGAAATTGTGTTTTCAGCTGAACAGAATAAGAGTTTACAGTAATAGCACACTGGAGAAAGTAAACAAACTGAAGGACATATTTAGATGTCTCCAAGCAATTAATTCAATGTCTTCTAGCAGAATTCGGGTTATATTTCTCACATGATATATCATGTTTAAGAACTGATGCTTGTTGATTTTCATATATTCATGCTTGGAATTTATTAATTTCCTTATGGAGAAAAACAAAGCAGGTCTTTTAAAAGTACCCATATTTGGTATCTAGCCTTAAAAAATGTTGCATTTTAGGTACTCAGCAAGTTAATTAAAACACATTTACAAAGCTGTGAACTTAATGTTTCACTACAAAAAATAAAATTAATTACAAAAGATTTTAAATACTATTACCAAATAAAGATCATTATATAACTGAGCTGAGGCTCTCATCACTTGTTTAGTTCAGTATTTAGTTCTGTATTATGTGTCTTTGGGACAGAGGTACTACTGTAACACAAACAATAATATGCAGTTATAACTCCCATCACTGATACTCACTCATGATGAAGAGAATCCTGGGACAAATGAACTGTTTTCCTGCTGCCACCTGGTCCTGGAGTTATCTAATGAAAAAGAATAGGAAAAAGTAGTCTTTTAATAATGGGGCAACATTGTTGTCCATACATGCAGTGACTAACTATTAAGAAAACCTGCCACAAATACCAAATAGGGACAGCACACTAGATGTAGTAAATGCATTTAGCAGTATCTGCAATTTTTAAGCAAAATGAGTGCATAAGTTCTCGACAAGATTTACCAAAATCCCTTATATAGATTTTTGATTGGATGTCAGACAACATGTCCGGCAAATGTCAGACAACACACATTTGTAGATGTAAGGGGTCTAAGTTAGTTTTGAGACATCCATGAAGCACTTTATCTCCAAGAAAAGAAAGCTAGCTGTTTTGAAAATCATAATCAACATACTATCCTCATTTACAGATAATACAGCATTAAATTAATTCTTTAAAGAACTCCCGATCTTTGTATCCCAACAAAAAGCTTTTGAAATTCAAGTTGATGTGGGATAGAGAGCAAAGATAAAATAATTTTTACCATACTGTACTGTAGACCTTGTCTAATGCTTTACATATACTTGAAACAAAAAAATACACAATATGCTCAATTTAAGAATTATCTTAAGAATGCATTATAGCACACACAGACTTTTGCATATTATGAAATACTGGTATTGCTGAAGAATGTATTCAAACAGCTCTATTTTTATATTTGAAATCTGTTTGTTTGTCTATACATGTAGATAAGTAAAAGCAGAAGAATGAGAGACCACCCAATAATGCTAATGAAAAAACAGAGAAGGAAAATAATTCCTGTTGGAAAGAATGCAGGAACAAATTTTCATTGCCTTGCAGATAGTTCCGTAGTCAATAGATGACCACAGGTAGCAATGAAATCAGGTATTCTGCCAGTTTTGAAAAGAAATGACAAAAACTCAATGGTACTAGATTTATAGGGCTCAGACTTGTCAAAAATACTAAAGCAGGAGATTCACAGACAAAAGCAGCCTACTCTTCATTAACAGAACAATGTGCTGAACTTTTTAAGAAAATATCTCTATTCATCTGGTGTCATGATGCAGAAAAGCCAAGGCAGTTGGAGCTCCAAGCCTGGAAAACACCTCCTGAATAATCTGAAAGCTCTATGCAGTTAAGAGTATTTGACCAAAATCTCTTTTTTTGACCTGAAGAAAAGTATCACTTGGAGCTGAGAAACCCTACATTGTTGTCACTTTTGTGGCTGATGATGATTGAAAAGAATCGTCAATACCTTAAGGCAGAAAAATACATAAAAACCTAGTAAGGGATACAAAGAAACATACAAATCCCTAGTACAAGAAATCACGGCAGATAGATGGGCAAAGAGCACATACTACTTTACCCACATTTGGAATTTACTGTTTTAGTAGCCTTACTGAGGCCTTATCTAGCCACATGGTAATAATAACACTGATCAATTGTTACATTTGTAATATCATAGTTTGCCTAATAACAACAGCAAGAAATGTCAGTTCACAAATTCAGACCTTGAAATGTGAGCAACTATTTTAATATACAATTTCCAAATGGTAAGATTAATAACTGAACTGTTACTTTTAACACTATAGGTAAGCATGTAGCTCAGCTCTTGAGAGTTACATCCTGCATTCATGTCAAAATGAGGTTTTCATGCTAGTCCAGCGGGTATCCCTGGAATACAGTAATCCATTTTCTACACTGTGGCTATAAGAAAAGCCGACTGTGCCTATGTCATGCTTTGTTAGAGGTTCATGATCACATTATCTCATGGTGGACCTGACACTTTTATTCAGTTTACAGTATGTTCTGTGTACAGGCAACTTATTTCCTTTGCCAGGGCTGCTGACAACCTTTTCCACACTATATTAATCTTGTTTACAGACTTTATCTTGGTACAAATATCAGAAAACCAAACTTTTTATCTCAGGGAGAAAATAAACAACATGTTGACAGAAGCAAAAGCTATTTTCTGGACTAAAATTGGTTGTTTACCTGCAGCCATATTTATGGAAACAAGTTTAAATTTCCAGCTTACTCGAAATACATAATCTGAAATTTTTAAGCATGGAAATTTCAAGAAAAATCACTTGATAAATTGCCTGTTTCAAAATACTATATAAATCTCAGAAGCATGTTTTTCTACTAATTTATAGGAGAATATGAACTTGCTTGCAATAGTTACAACTGATGACAAACTACACTACCCAGGTTTCTCTTGCACACCCCAGATAACTTCAGTTACCAAGCAGCCACAGAATATTTATAAAACTAAATGCATGATGCATATGTATATATAATTGCATAAAAATGAATGTGATTCTGGTCAGTCACAATATGTTAATGCAAATGAATTCCTATTTGCAAAATTCATTTAGGGTGTAAAAAGCCATAACAAAACCTACTGCCCATTTTCATTTGCTACCTCTCTATTAGAAAAATCTACTCCAAATAGCTACCAAATTTGCACAGAATAGAGATTCAGCTGCTCCAGAAACTGGGAGCAGATTGCAAAGATAGATACTGAAATCAAAACAAATACCCTCTCAACTGTGTTGATTCTATATTCATGCATTATATAGAATTATTTTAGGTAATGAAAATTAGGTGCACAAGAAGACATCAAGGGGTAAAGTAAGTACTAGTTTTCCACTGGGTAACTCAGAACAAACAGCATGTATCCTAGTGTGTATGCCTAGTGTGTATGACTGCACATGTATATCACGGAATCAGAATTGCTGTGATGGTAGTGTTTAGCAGAGTGACAGATAAGGCCTGTTTTAAAGTTTGAGTTCATTCAACACTTCTTGATAATAGTAAATTCTTACATACTATTAAACATCCTCCTTATATAGAAGAGTGTTAGTTTTTAACAATCGTGTGCTAAATTAGCTGTGAGTGCACAGTATCATTGAGTTTTTTGTTACAGACACCTGAGCCACAGGGAAGCAAAGTGCATTTTGAAAAGGCACATTTTTGTAACATCCACAAGTGCTGTAGGTTACTTTTGTCACACACTTTACAGCAAAAAAATGCAGCAGATTTTTTTCCTAATATACACATAGCAGGATTTTTTTCAAATCTTTTGATGGATAAACTTTTGGGGAAAAATGCCATGGCATGCTTTAATATACAACATGAACAGAATACTGGCTTCAAAAGATCCTTCCTGTGAAATATTAAATTGCCTAGGAAATACCCAAGAATCTCTTTCAAGCTTTTTAGCAGTATATTCAACAGTCTCTTTCTAGAAGTTGCATTACTCCAAAACTGAACACAATCACACTCTTACTGGATCTTAGGTAACTATAACTAATAGAGAAAGTGAAGTAGTGCTAACTATCTCCTCTAATTAATAACAGCACATTTTAAAAAAATTCCTAGATGTAGCAAATGACTAGAAATTAAGTCCTAGAGGATGAGGTAAAAAGCAGGCTTTGGGCATTGACCACCTCTCTAGGAAGTCTGTTCCACTGTTTGACCACGTCCTCAGTAAATAAATGCTTCATAATCAATGAATCACATTCTGCTTGCAAAATATATGCAAGTGACAAGGAAGAAAAAAAAACTCAAGAAAAATAGGTTAAAAAAGTGGGCTTTAATCCTACAGCAAACAGATATCCCTGCACATCTTTTACTGTTTTCTCTTATAAAAAAAAAAAAAAAGAGCTTCACACTCCAGATAAAATGAGAACCAGTAAGTTTCTTAAAGAATATGTCCCAGCTCCCCAGTCTCTCTAGTGATTTTACACGGTGTTAAAGAGTTTTCTCTACATTTCTTTTCACACAAGTGATCAAAATGCCTCTTTGTTCATCTACAGTTGTTGAATGATTAACAGATGCAAATGAAAAACTATGGCATAAGATTAAAAGAAAAGTCCACTATTGAATATAGCTCTTTAAGAGAAAGATGGAAATTGTGTATCTCATGTATAAAACAAAACAGGGAATGTCTTTGTAAATCTTTGCTATTACACAGTTTTTCTCTACTGTTTTTAAGATAAACCTGGAAATTAAATTAAATAATTGTAAACTTACGATGAAAAAGACTTTGGAAAAGAGACTGACCTAGGTTTAAGTTTTTTTCTTTGCTTGTTTTAAATGGTAATACTTGCAGAAAATAAAACCAACTCCCCGTTGAAAATAAATTTAAGATCCTCAGGACTGCATTAACACACAGCATCACTATTTCAAATTTTTATACTAGGGAAGGGAAAAATGCTCAGGGCAGCTGCCTGAATTGTATTAGATAGGGCAAAAAAAAATAATCAAAATTTTAATACTTCATTGCTCTGTAAATAGCTAGCATTAAACATATTTTATTTAACTGAAACATAATTTTTATTTGCACAAAGAACTGCTAAATAAATACTGCAGAAAAATGCTGTGTATAAAAAACTCCTTATAATATTTTAGCTGTCTGTTTAAGATACAAAACTTATTATAGGGTGAACTTTTATCTTCACTAAGTCAACAGGATTTTGACCTCAGTAGTGCTGGCACTGTATTCTTCTTAGTTAAGGATGATCTAAAATGCTGAAATAATGCTTTTACTTGTACAATTATGATCTATAAGTAAAGTAACCCACACAGTGATGTAGACACAGGAGGACAGAGCAGAACAGCGATTAGGATACTAGCCTTGACCTGAGAGATGCAGGTTCAATTCCTTGCCCTGCTGCAGTCTTGTTTTTTTGACCTTTGATAAGTTGTTTTGTGCAGCTCAGTTCCTCATTCGGGAAAAACAAGAAACACATACAAATATGACCTTTCTTCCTCTGCCCAAAGTAATCTAATAGTTTTTCATACTTCATTGAAGTAATGTAATATAATGACAGTAAAGATTGTACCAACAACAAAGGATGTCATCAAAGCGTTTGCTTTAAGACTGTTTGAAGTATACTATTGAAAGTGATTTTTATTCCTACTGCCACGGGACTTATTATAGGAAAGAGAGAAATGTCAATATTAAATACATTTACATATATAGGCAGAATTACTCAGAACTCTCTGCAGGTACAAGTCTTACT